TTAAATACCTTGGCCTTTGGAATTGATGAGGAGCTACATTTTGAGCCTCATATTGAGCAGATTAATCTGAGGGCGAGGCAGAATCTGGGCTTTTAGTGCGGGACACAAGTTGGCCTTGCGTCGTGCAGCGGGCAGGCATCGTCTATTCAAGGCGGCGGTACTCCCCAGTATTTGACGATTCTGAGATATTCTATCAATGCGCCTCAGTTAGGGCCTTGCATGGTCTCGATGTTAATGTGTAGCCTTACCTCCGTTATTTAAGGTGCCAGGAACCTGCGCAATCTGCGAAGCACCTTGATGAGCTCACGCAATGAAATCTCGGCAGATCAAAGAAAAATACCTCTATCCTTTTTATACACAAGATATTGAAAAATAAGAATAGGTTTTACCCTTTCTGCAAATAAAATTGGCGTTAAGATGTTCAAACTCCAAATAGATACCTTTTGCAAGGACGTGTGGTTAATGCGGACTTTGTGTTTGAACATCTTAACGACTATTTTATTGCCATTAAGGGTAAAACCGATTCTTATTTTTCATACTTTGGTACTGGCAAAAAGGCCCCATAGATACACAAGATATTCTTTGATCAAACATTTTATCTGAAGGGAAAATTGACCTTACGTACTCACTCAGATCGATGGCGTTTAAGCGACTGATTTTAAATTCCAAACATTTTCCTCACGACGTTCAGTTGGTGCTCGCACGGTGTTTGCAATTAAATACGAACAGCAGCCTGGCAGGGCACTGGAACAGAGTCATCGAAAGTATGAGGACCGGTGATGAGATTTTAAGTAATTTTAATTTTTATTCTTTTTAATAGGATATGTTGTTTGTCTCTTAACTGTGATTCTTAAATACCTTATTGTTATATTCTTTGGGTCTTTCGGTAAAGCCGCGTAGATAGGTTCAAAGAAAATAACAAAAAATAAAAACTACGTTTCGATCGCCACACAAGCGTTCGTCATCAGGAAGAACGCTTGTGTTGCAATCGAAACGTCGTAGTTTTTTTGTTATTTTCTTTGAACCTATCTACATGACTTTACCGAAAGACCCAAAGAATATGAATTCCTGCAGTCACGAAAGCTTTAAGTCAAGATTTAACGTTGTTAGTTTTAATGTTAGGTTGGTAATACTTCGTCTGTGCTCTCCACTTGCCTGGGTGGCAAGTGGGGTAGGTGTTGCCCAATCCTGGCCAACTGGCTCAACGACTGAACAGACGAGCTCACTAATCAGACGAACAAACTAATCAGACTCACTAACCAGACGAATTAATCAGACTAACTCACTCATCCCGGCTTCTCGTGCACGATGCTCTCAGCTCAGTCATCGGTAACTGCACAAACCACTAGGCAGAGAGATTCGTATTTTACTACATTTGGCAAATTCTCCCTGTCGAGCTCAATAATTCTGGCGATTGGCATGCAATAATAATAAAAAAATAATTCAGTTCCAGATTTGTAATAAGTCAGGAATGAAAAGGCCCAACTCGTGTGCTTTAAGAACCCTATTTGAAGTGACTTGAAAATAAGTGCTGTATTGCTTCTGTATTTACCATTTGGCACCATCCTCTAGCACTGGGTGATGCACTGCTAGCTCATGAGTTATAAATCACATGACATGTTGAGAGCACAATTTGAATAGAATTTGTAAATGAGGACGTGTACGTATTTTATTTATCCGAGAGGGAAGCGTGGCCCAAGTTGACCCCACGATCACGATTTGAAGTCGCAAACTTCCGCTTGTGACTCGCGCACTCGAACAGCTGCCCCGCTCGAGCAGCGGAGACTCACAGCCAGCGGCGTGGAGGGCACGCACCCTGGCGCCAGGCATGCGACGGGAGACAACCCTCTCTCCGCCTTCCCCCCCCCCCACACCTAGCCGGGATCCTCCAGCTCGTGGGCCCTGGCAGTGTTGCCCCGAATTCGATAGCCGTGCCACTGCCCAACTCAAATTGGGTACTCTTGAGAATGAAGCTGCGACGATTACGAGCGGCGTTCCTTGCGCTGACACCGAGAGAGATTTCTCTTTTCGTCTCGCGCCTCCTCGACTCTGGTGGAACAAAATTAGGATTAAACTTGAGCCGATAAAATCCACACATCCTGCTGGATGTCCGTGGCACTCAGAACTCGGGAGAGAGGGGTAATGTGTGCGGATTAGAGCAGTGGTTCTCAACCGGGGGTACGCACACCCTTGGGGGTACGCGCGCCCTTGGGGGTACGCGAGGTGATTTATAAATTTGTGAAATTATATCATACGTGAGTCATCGGTGAATAATCACGTATGAATATGGTAACCTGGAACGACATAACAGACCTTTGTAAACTCATTGACCGTAAACAATGTGGGTTACAAGCGTAACCAGCGAGCACAAATTATGTCACGCACGCAGAGCGTCCGTTGAATTAGATGTTGTATTCACTTGTAGTTACTCGCAAGTTAAGATATCTCACAAAATGGACAATTGTATAAAATATTGATGTTCTTTATTCATACATTTATTTCTCAGAACCATGTTGGGTCAGGTAAGGGGGTAGAGTAGCTAAAAAAAGGTTGTGAACCACTGGGTTAGAGAAGAGGGATTGGAGGCGTCGCTGCCGAGTAGAAGAACATCGCTCTGTGGGCGAGGAAAGGGGTTGAGGGGGTAGGAAAGACAATCAAACGTGGCGCTCACCGCATCCAGCCATCTTTAATGAAACCCGCGGTGTTTGGGAGGCACGGGCTGCTGTAGTTGTGGTCACGATGTCGAAAGTTAAGGACGGCCGGCGCTGCTGTTCTCGATTCATTAAGCGCCGATTGCACCCTCGAGGCTGCGCGCACGCCACGAGGAGAGGCGCGGCTCACGCAGCGCTCGCAACGCAGCGCGACGCCACGTGAGGTCTTACACTTCTTTTTCAGCGTATTGATATTATATTGGTTTTTCCCCCTTTTAATCAAACGTTATTATTCGTCCGTTGGCAGAACCGAATGAAACGTGGGTGGCACAGGGGGAAGGAGAACGATGACGGCTGGCGCCGTGTGGTCATGATTGAGAGCTCGCGGTAATTAGTGGAGCACATTTTTCTCAATCCATGAAAGGGATTACATTTTTTGATGCTTGGCTGCAAGCAGTCTGCATTCTGTTATCTCCATGCCGCAGTGCCCTGCAGTGATGTGTTCTCTAATTACTTTGGGATGTTCTGGAAGACTCGGATAAGGTGGACCGGGGGCCGAACAGACAGGGTGCCTGCCTGCAGAGCCACTTTGCCAGTTTTATCCCTGCCGCAGTCACCGGGTGAACCCTGGGGGGACAGGCCAGGGCACGACACAGCGGAATATCGGTGTCAAATCACCAATGATGACGTTTCCTTCCGAAACTCCTCGACAGTGAGCTGTGCACAACTCTGTGACAGGGAAGGGCTACTGATAACAATGCTAAGCTTCCTCCGATAGGTATCTTAGCAAAATAACGAGGTGGGGGGGGGCAGCACTGGCGCTAGTGGCGGGGGGCTGCACCCCCGCATGGTGAATCGAGGTGACGATGGCCCCCCCAAAAAAACAGCTCTGCTGCCCCTCCACCCAGTTGGAGCCACGCCTGATTTGGGGGGGGTGGTCTACTTTTAATGTCAATACAACCAAACAATTGAATTGCAACGCACCCTGGGATAGTCAGTTGGCGTTTCTTAATTAGTAACACCTTTCTTTCCATCGTCTTATTATGCCCAGAACCTTGTGACCGCGTATGTCTGTGTGCCTACGCACAGTCATTTCCATATCCACGCCTTTAGGAATGTGGAATTTCCACGACGGAATGCGGCGCTGCCATGAGAGATGAAAGCTGATCGATGTGCTTTGGAGTGAGCGACACGGTGGAGAGATGTGAACTACCTCGCCGAGTATACAGGTCCTGCGTTCGCCCCCAACCCTGACATCTGTATATTTGGAGTTTGCATATCTCTCTCTCCCCGTGGTCGCCTTGATTTTTCTGTGGGTCCTCCGGTTTTTGCCTCCAAGTTTAGAATCAACAACCACGTGTTTAGAATATTTGGTTGCTATAAATTTCCACGTGTTAATAAGCCACTTCGTTGGGCTATTATTTGTGGCCAGACCGCTTCTGAAAAAGAGCTATATAGTTCAGTGGGCCTTACCTGGTAAAATAAAAAATGTTTATAGTTTTTAGTGTTATAGAGTGGGGAAATCGTTTGACTACGTTGCAATTATTGCACGCGTGTGTGCGTGTGTGAGCGCATCACGTGTGTGTGGCGCCCAATGTTTTTCTGCGCCTCCAGTCCGTTTCTGACCCGCGAGTAACACGTTCAGAAGAGCAACTGCGGCGTGCTCGAGTTCTTCTCCAATCGTCCTTTAAACAGCGGGAGCAGATGGCAAGACAGGGGCAGCCAGTGATAGAGACGGACAGAGAGAGGGGCACATTGAGGGAGCGGCCCTGCAGTTGCCGGATAGCCTCCGTCTGCCCGACGACGCTGACGGTTCAAGCGGACACAAGACGTTCCTTCTGATAATTTGGCAAGACCCTTGGTTTTAGCTTTTGCCGAATTGTGGACATTTTATTTTTGACAAAGGGTAAGAATCAGTTGAGCAAGTTGGAATCTGCAAATCGTGATGAAACCGATCAACACAGAACAATTATTGTTGTTGTTCTTCTGTGTCGATCAATTAACGCGGGAACTGTGTGTACAAAAAAAGCTCTCTGCTTCACGCGTTGTGCAAAACCACCAATTCCTGAAGAACTGCATTGTGGTCATCTTTGTTTGTGGTGATCCGATTCGTGTTGATGCTCATCTTGCCTCTCGTTTTGAAATCAAACTTGTGATTTTACCCAGAACACCCTTTTCAATGTGACCATGTTTCCTGCCATCTCAATGCGATCTTCATGATAAAGCCCTCCTGCCACCACTACTCTATTTGTCTTACTCTCAAAGTCGGCAGTATCGCCGGCCTCGCTGTAAATCGTACAAGTCACAGTGAACGTTGCCTCCTTCACACCGTGTGCCTCTGTCCCACAGGTACCTACTTGGAGACCTTATCCAGACACGTTGGCTTTGTTAGGTAAGCGTACGCACACACACACACACCACACACACTGCTTACTACTCTAGTCAAGAACATGTTGGTAGCACGCGCTGTGAACGAGCACCGCCTATCAAAGTGAACCTTGCACACGCACAGCGGACGCGTGGCCCGGCTGCTCCGTTCCGTCGTCCGTCATCTCACGCTCGACGCTTGTGTCACGACCACAGCCTCCCTGCCACCAACAGATACGTAGGCGGAGGAGGAACTCTTCGATGGAGGCGTGAGGAAAATCCGCCCCGGGGCGCCTCCGATGGGGATGGGCTTGCTCCACGCCATTGCTCGCTGGAGGAGGGAAACGCAGCTAGTTTTGACAGAGCATTCATCCCAACATTCTGCACAGTTTAAACTTGCCCTTAACAAAAACGCACACACTCATGCACGCACAACAGGCGCCATTCGCCAGGAAGTGGCGGTGCCATGGGTCGGCTGACTGAGATGATGCACCGCCTGTGGCCCCTGCTGTGCTAATTATCTGCGTTTTAGCCGCTCGGCGCTCCGCTCGTTGTTGTGAGCGTCTTTTCTCCGCCCTCCGTTGTTGCTGCCCAGTAGCAGCGGCCTTCACGAGCCTCCTCCACAAAGACAAAGAACCCCCGTGTAGCCTTAACAGACTGTAGGGGCAAGTGCTGTTAGCGAGCTCCTATGAAGACCGGCACGGCACACGAGGGGATGGGTGGCTAGCACCACGCCCGACCGCCTTTGTCTCCCCAGTGGCGATGTTTACACACCGCACGAGGTACTTGTTTGAGGCTGAGTCGACCTAGGGGATGCCCAGGACCGGTTCAGATAATCGTCACCGGTGTTGGCCGTGAGCGGGAATCGAACTCGGGTCATCAGGTTCGTAGCGCAGCGTAGCGCTAACCACTACACCACCGCTCCCCACACACGCACGCCAACACACACACGCACACCAACACACACACGCACACCAACACACACACGCACACCAACACACACACGCACACCAACACACACCAACACACACACGCACACCAACACACACACCAACACGCACACGCACACCAACACGCACACCAACACACACACGCACACCAACACACACACGCACACCAACACACACACGCACACCAACACACACACGCACACCAACACACACCAACACACACCAACACGCACACCAACACGCACACCAACACGCACACCAACACGCACACCAACACGCACACCAACACGCACACCAACACGCACACCAACACGCACACCAACACGCACACGCACACCAACACGCACACCAACACGCACACCAACACGCACACCAACACACGCACACCAACACACGCACACCAACACACGCACACGCACACCAACACACACACACCAACACACACACACCAACACACACACACCAACACACACACACCAACACACACACACCAACACACACACGCCCAGCACTGCGGACACCAAGCTCGGCCTCCCTGCCGGCAACGCGCCGCGTGGCCTCGTGGGCCGCGAGTCCCGGCGCGGCTCCGGCGCAGAGAGCTTGAAGGTCGTCGCGGTCGTCCTTCTTCTCTGCGCTGCTGCTGCAGGGTGCACGAGGCAGACTGGCCCAGCGCCCTGCGCCTCTTCGCGCCCGAGTTCGGGGTGTTCGCCGTCGGCTTCGTGGCCTGGTTCCTGTGCTGGAAGCTGACGTGTCAGCCGCACGCCCGGAGCCCCTGCGCGCAGTCGCCGGGCGCCGGCAGTGACGAGTTGGACGAGGTGGGTGGCAGCGTGTGTTGTTGGCGCAGCACGAGGGAGACAAAGGCGGCTGCGCGTGGTGCTGGCCACCCACACCCTCGTGTGCCGTGCCGGCCTTCATAGGTGCTACTCGCTAACAGCACTTGCCCCTACAGCCTGTGTTATGGTTATACGGGGGATCTTTGTCTTTTTGTTGGCACAATCAGTCGACCCGTGGCACCTGGGTCAGCCCCTTGACCTCCTGCCACGTGGCCTCAACGTGCACCGAGCCTGGCACAGGCGCCGTGTTGTTGTTGTGGGGAGCGGTGGTGTAGTGGTTAGCGCTACGCAGCGCAATGAACTCGGCGAGCCGAGTTCCATTCCCGCTCACGGCCAACATCGGTGACGATTATCTGAACCGGTCCTGGGCCTCCCCTAGGTCGACTCGGCCTCAAACGAGTTCCCGTTGCGGTGTGTAAACATCGCCACTGGAGAGATAAAGGCGGCCACCTACCCCCTCGTGTGGCGTGCCCGCGGCTCGCCGGCCCCGCTGCTGGGCCCAGTCTGGGTTGTCGCTCTCCCCCCTGCCCTGACCCCGCACTCCCCACCCACCGTCGACAACTCTACATCATCGTCGTTGTTGTCGTCGTTGTTGTTGTTTTACAGTGTTCCTGAGACCCTCGATGCAATGCAGTCATTGTTGTGAAATCGAGGCTGTGTCTTTCAAGGAACACCTGCGCCGCCTTGAAACACTGCCAAGCGCAGTGCCCCGTGGGATATTAGTCCAGGGTGGCTTGCGCGAGGTCACAGGCACTCTGGTGGTCTGGCTGCGTGGTGCCCAGAACCCGCGTGACCAGGCAGCCCTTGTCAGGCCACGCACGGGTTAAATGCGCAGCGTTGGCTCCAGCAGAGGTGGGCTATTGTGGCACCAGAGGACTTGGAGCTGAGTGGACTTGCCGACAGCTGGTGCGAGTGGTATCGAGATCGGTCTCCGTGGAGGAGGCTCGCGAAATGGGCTGCTAGGGCGCCTGCCAGCAGCCGTCTTCCAGTAACGGCGGCGAGGCGTCGGAGGAGCAATGCTGGAACACAGCGCTGGGAAGTCGTCGGACGGTGAATCTGCAAGTTAGCATTGCCCATGATCAATGGGCACTTGGATGAGCCCCATAACTTGCCAGCGAGATCTGCCACTCCGATCTCGCCCAGCAGTGGCAACGAGCAGCCAGACCCACTCGGGGGTCGTGCGTCTGTGCGTGTGTCAGTGAATTCAAACTTGTGCCTGTGTGTGCGCGCGTGCGTTTTTGTTCAAATGTGTGTTCATCTGTTGGTGTGTACTGTGTGCGTGGCCCTGTGTACGGAGTGTGTGAACGTGTGTCCACGTTTAGTCGTGTAAGTGTGCTGCGCTACGAACCCGGCGACCCGACTTCGATTCTCGCTCAGGGCTAACACTAGTCACGATTATTTCAACCGGTCCTGGGCCTCCTCTAGGTGGACTCAGCCACAAAAGAGTACCAGGTGTATGTATGTTTAACTTCTTTCGCACCGTATGTAGCCAATCATGCTAATCGGAGGTGCGGGTTATCCAGGCAGTATGAAAACATTGCCACGAGGGAGACAAAGGCGGCCGGGCGTGGTGCTGGCCACCCTACCTCCTCGTGTGCTGTCCTGGCCTTAATAAGGTTACACGGGGGGATTTTTGTCTTGTGAACTTGTGAACACATCCCCCACGCGTGCGTGCGTGCGAACGTGCGCTCGTGCCGGACGCGTCAGGAGGCCGAGGCTGCGGATCTGGACGAGGACGACGCGGAGGGAGGAGACGAGGCGGACGATGAGTACGAGGAGGAGGGCAGCGTGGCGGAGGGGGGGGCGGCCTCCGATGCGGAGGGCCCCGACGGCCTGGCGGAGGAGCCCGGCCGGCGGGAGATCTTCCTCGCCCGGGTGGCCGCCTTCGCCTCGCGCCTCAAGGAGCTCATCGGCAAAATCATCACCACGGCCGGCAAAGTGGTGGCCACGGTGATGCTCGGCCTCGCAGGTACCGCGCCCGCGGAGCTGCTCTCGTTGGTGTGAGCGTGACGGAAGTGGCGCGTGTGTGGGTCCGGGTTGGATTCTATTCTTGCACGTGGCAAGCTGTTCAGGAGCTCATGTCGAGACCTGCCGGCCTGGACGAGAGGGCTTCCGCGGTTGAAAGGAGCGCAGACAACACTGGTTTACTTATGAGGTCCACAGTTTGGGTGGCATGGCTACGTATGTATCATTATGGGTTTACTACATGCGTTTGCATGGCCATAATCGCACTCCTGTGGCTTGTATTTAATTTTACTTTTTTTGTTGTTGCAAAAACTCAGCCCTAAATTTGAACTAAACGAAGAATTCCACTGACAATACATCTCTTCTGCATTAATCCTGAGATGTCACGAGAGATAGTGAGCCATAACGGTCCGCTATAAGCAAGCCGTGCGGCCCGGTTGGCGCTGTTTTGTCGTCGTGACTTCGTCGTGACGTCGTCGTGACGTCATTGAAACATTGACGTGACGTCGTCGTTGTGACGTCGTCATTGTGACGTCGTGTCATCATCGTGACGCTTGTCGAGACATTGTCATGACGTCGTCTCGTCGCCGTGACTGTGATGTGACGTCGCCGTGTGGTCGCGTTGCCACGCAGGCGTGATCGTGCCGTCGCTCACATCGCTCGCCTACTTCGTGCTCTTCATGGCGCTCTGCTCCTGGTGGGCGTGCGGCCGCTCCATGCCGGAGCTCGCCTTCGGCTGCGTGTGCGTCGCCACGGCGCTCTTCAGCGCCGGCCACCTCCTCGGCCTCTACATCTACCAGATGCCAGCGCTGCAAGAGCTGGTGCCACCCGGCGACCTGAACGCACGGTACGCACCCCCAACCCCCACCGCCCCCCCCCCCCTAGATCTGGACCGTACTAACTGAACGTGAGCGCAAGGTGGGTGGCGGACGTGAGCATTGACAAATAAATGTACTTATTTTTTTTGCCTATAAGGCAATGTTACAGAGGCCTTTAGTATGCATATTCACCTACCTTTTACACAGAGTGTGACCGACGGACACTTATGAATTACTGCACTCAACCCTGGTCCCCTCCGGATTGATGCAGTCCGGTTCAAATGTTGACTCCCACCACGGCGTTCTGGGATGTTCCGCTCCATTTCCACACCTGCCGACCGTGTACTTGCCCTTCTCTCTCCGTCTCTAATTCCTGCCCATCTGTCTCTGACTCTCGCTCCCTATACACGCGTGTCTGCATGCACAGCCCTGATGGATGGAGGCCTCCCCACGCCGTACTGGTCATTGGGGCTATTTGACCATGCTTCACCATGCTGGCCATAGCTGGTCGTTGAAGGTGGGGAGCATAGATGTCGGTGCATGGTACAGTTCAACAATGCATTTTGTGGCACTGCCCTCCACTGACAACGTAAATCCACAGCCTGTAACTGCTGCATTAGGTAAGGTCGAGGCGCCTATGCCGGCACTATCCCGGCTCAAACCGTGCTTGGCTGCTGAGGTCTATCGGGCACATTTGTATTGACATGGTCACCGACTCGGCAAACTGCAACTTGAGTCTCAACTTCAATCGATTGAGTTGCGCGCGGTGCAAGTTGGTTCGACTCCAGCCCCGAGTGACCGGGAGCGCTGGCGTGTTGCCGTGTGGGTCCAGTCCCCCCTTGCCCGCTGCCCTCCCGAGGACTGCGCGTGTTTGTCCTGAGTTGCCGATATAAAAGTTCACCAGTTGCGGGTCATTGTAAACAAACAATCTCTTTCAGACGACGGCACCCTTGCGAATGGCGATGCCACCGCGATGTCTGTGTTGTCCACTTCGCAGCAGATGGCCAGTTGTAGCGGGAATCAAACCGTCAACGTCTGTGCACCCTGGCTCGGGGCAAGCAAGTTGACAGCTATCGCACTGAGCCACAAACTGTGGTTGTCAGTTTGTAGGGCGCCCTGGTAGCAAGATGTTAGCTCCCTTGCCGGGTATACAGGAGGTCGTGGGTTCGCACCCCGTCCCTGACGCCTGATGTATATTTGGAGTTTGCGTGTCTCTCTCCCCGTGGTTGCGTAGATTTTTCTCCGGGTCCTCAGGTTTTTTTCCCTCCACATTTATAATCAACATCCGTTTAGCGTATTTGGCTGATATAAATTTACACGTGATAAGCCACTTTGTTGGGCTGTCATTTGTGGTCAGGTCCCTACTGACAAAGAGCTGTATAGTTCAGTGGGCTTTGCCTGGTAAAATACATAAAAAAATATTGAATAGTTTTAGTTTAGTATTTACGAACAGAGAGGTCATGTTCCCTACAGTGAGGCTCATGGTCCTTCAGGCTCCGTTATACGTCAGGTTCACAAACACGTCGGTAGAAGAGCAGGTATTTCTCTCATCACGTTATCAAGAAATGTGCGAAAGTGGCCCCTTGTCTCCAGCTCCCATCCCTGGCAGCTTCTCTGCTCCTGGGCAGATAATGCGCTCCCTACAAAGTAGTGACACCTGTGGTAATATAGTGCAGGCAGCTGTGGCAGTGTGTATGCCATTGTGTTGCTGCCCGTCGCTGGAATCGGTCATCCATATCTCACCCGCTTTAATTAAAAAATAAAACCGCACGGCCGTGCTGTCAGATTATTTTTGCATCTTAAAAAAATATATTTCTAAACGTAACTTAACATTATTGAGCAAAGCGATGTCGCAAGTTTCACACTGACGTTGGCGTGTTGCCAGAAGACTCCGCACTAAAGTGATAGTTTTGGCCGTTCCGCCTGTGCTGTATGTTCCCTATGTCATCATTGTGAGTCGTACAGTCCGTGTCTTCCCACTCGATGCACACACACCTCCGATTAGCACTGTTGGCTACGAACGGTGCGGGAGAAGTTCAACATACATATAGTGCGTATGAATGGGTTGACTGGTTCGTGTGTCAGTGGTGCACTGAGCCAGTTCGTGTGGAGTGAGCAGTTCAACCCCAACCGCCGCCACTCGGTCGTCTCTGGACTACTGTGGATAATGACCAACAATGCGCTGCCGGCTGTAGCGCGCCAGTAGCACACCCTGCGGTGACGTCACCATTCACAAGTAGCGCACCCTGTGATGACGTCACCATTCACAAGCGTTGCTTCGTTTTTTTTGCTCGCCAGTGTCGAAAACCCAAATGCCACATGTATAAACTGTCCTCTTAATGCGCTTAAACGGTGCCTGAGAGAGATCACGTGCCCCAGCGATGTTTTCCTGCAAAAAGAGATTCACGTGATGACAGATGCAACGATACGCCCCATTGATAATTCTGTGAATTGACAAAGTTTGAGATCGCGATTTCATTAACAAATGGATTATGTTTGTCCTTGTGGTGCGTGTACAATGTATGATTTGATGAATCCGTCGATGCGCAGTGGTATAAACACGTGCGAATAGGACCGCGTGGATTCGCCCATGCGTCATTCGGTGCGCACGTTGCGAGTGAAGTAACCGATGAGTATCGACGAAATCGATTGATCGGAACATCCGCAGTGAATATTGTCAGCAAATGCTTGCTAACTAACCACTGCTTTCGGCGAAGGGATCTGAAGCTAAGTCCGTGGGCTCAGCACCATCCAAAAGCCAGAACTATAAAACCAGTACGAGGCCCGCGATAGTCCGTGAAGCGTACCACTCAACCTTTCGCGGCCGTCAGACATTCACAGAGGCATTAGGTCCTTGTAGGCTTTCCAGAAGGCTTCTTTATTAATCGCGCACTAACGCAGCTTTAACGCAATTCCTGGATATGAACTTTGGCGTATTCCCGGGCGACGCTGTGGCTTGGATTCTCACGGTCTGCGAACGGCGCAAATCCCCGGCTGGGGTTCACTCCTCAGGCCATCGCCAATGAGTTCATGGGCAGTCGCGAGCGGTCGCCACCGTAGTAGCGATGCGGAATGTTCACATCTCGTTGAGGTTCCCACCGATGGTAGTGAAGAACTACGATTGCTCATTAGAGCAGGGAGACTGAAAACAAAGGCTGAGTCTCTTTGGGCTCACCTTGCCTGCTTAAACAGAAGGAACTGTGACATGCTGTTATGGCGGTAGGTTTACTCGGCATCTAGCGATGCATCGATTCACTGATTATAACCCACTCGTGCTCATCATCGATGCTTCAAATTATTACTTTTAATTAGTTACTATTCATGGGAATTCTACGCAGATTTCAGCTGTTTGGCAGTCGGGACGCAACTGTACAAACGAGGCAGAAAACACGCGAAGCGTCACAAACATGGTGGTAAACCCAGAGAGAGAATCTTGAATATCACATTGTAACCATTCATGCGATCGCCGGCGAGCCCGAGCGCCGCCTGACGCCCGCGACTCACGGGGAGCGGCGACAGCGACGAGCGCATCGACGGCTGCGCCATGAGCCTCGCTCGCACCGCCCGCCCAGAGAGAGCGGCGGCGGTGAACCAGCTGCTGCTGCTGCTGCGAGTAAGCGGAGTCGGTGGTGACGCGGCGAGCGGGTCGCCGTGCGAGCGTTTACGGCAGGCGCCCTCACTCCCAGATGTGCGGAGGAAGAGGAGGGGGGGAGGGAGCGAGGGGTGACCGAGGGGGGGAGCGAGGGAGGGGGGGAGCGAGGGAGGGGGGGAGCGAGGGAGGGGGGGGCGAGGGAGGGGGGGAGCGAGGGAGGGGGGGGGTGAGGGAGGGGGGGAGGGGGAGCGAGGGAGGGCGGGAGCGAGGGTTGGACTGGAGGGGAGCGGGGGAGCGAGGAGTGACCGAGGGGGGGGCGAGGGAGGGGGGCGGGAGCGAGGGTTGGACTGGAGGGGAGCGAGGGGTGGAGCGAGGGAGCGAGGTTTGACTCATTGCCCCCCCTGCCCGCGTGTCCCCCCCCGCGCTCTACAGCGTCTATCTCAGGGAGACTCGGATTGCTGCCGGAGGCCCCATTAATGCCGCGGAGCAGCCGCTCGCGGAATAAAGCAAAACCAGCTGCGCCCGACGTGCCGCAATAAAACCTTGGCGCAAACAAGAAGTTACAATTATTTATCGTGAAGATGTCACTGTGGACTTGCTGGGTGCCACCGTTACACTGGGCAGAGCAGGCGTGGCTGTGCTGCACGCGTCGTCGTGATTGTCGTCGTCGTTGTTATCGCTGTTATTATTGTTGTTGTCGTCGCCGCCACGGGTCGCAGTGCCCTTATAGGAGACGGCAAAGCTTCGGGGTCCGTAACACGAGTCGCACTCTCTGGGAAGTTAACGGGAGTGGTTTTGCTATGAGCAGAGATTGGCTCCTGCCAGAGGAATGTGGAATTTCCGCGACCGGCTGATGAATGTGCTCGTTGGCATCGTTGACTCGTAGCTTCAGGGTGACGCGTCGTCGACTTGGCTCTGCCGATGGACCGCTCCGGTGGAATTTCACCGTCCAGTCTGCCCAGCCTCCACCTGCCCCTCCCTTCTGTAATGCGAGCAAGGATTGAGGGGGGGCGGAGTCTGGGTCACGTGGGGAGAGGGAGGAGTCAGGGTCACGTGGGAGAGAATTTAGGGAGAGAACCGGAAGGGGAACGGGGAGTGGAGATGGAGTGAAACGGGAGGAGGCCACGCTGGGCAGTACGGAGAGAGTGGCGCAGTTGCCACGCGGTGGGAGACGTCGACACCGTCAGCCATCGGTGTCAGACGCAGAGAGCTAGCGGGCTGTGGGAGGCTAGCTGTGTACAGGGCAGCAGTGAAGCTGGAGAGCGGAGCAGTGGTGTGGCTGCAAGGCGGAGCAGCAGGGAGACTGCATATCGGAGCAGCAGAGTGGCTGTGGAGTGATCGTCGGGAGAGACGCGGGCCTGAGCGAGGACGCCGTGGTAACGAGATTCTACGAACCCAATAAAGGACAACGTAGATCGACATATGAGAAAGAGTCCT